TACCAGAATCTCTCTCAACTACTCCAAAGTGCTCAATCAACGGACGTCGCAGTAGTCGCCGGGGACTTCAATGCTCAAGTGGGATCCCTGGACGAATGAGAAAGGCTTTTTGGCGGACTACACGCAATCCCAGCCAACCGGACGGACAACGGAGATCGCCTATTTCAACTCTGCACGGACCACGGATTGTTCCTATCAAACACGAACTTCTCGCACAAGAAACGTCATTGACTTACGTGGAAACCGCCAACCTATTCACTGCGCTGGATCCAAATCGACCATATCACCATCAGTTACCGCCGGAGTGGATCACTCCGTCAAACTCTAGAACATAGACACTCCTTACGTAGACCCACTATCTCTATCTTCCTGGATCTAAAAGCGGCTTTCGACTCAGTCGACCGCTCTAAACTCTGGCGCTGCCTTTCCCTGAAGGGAGTGCTCGAGAATTTTATTTCAATATTAAAATCCCTCTACAATAATAGCCGAAGCCGAGTTCGAGCTAACGGCACTTTTTCACCCGAGTTCACCACGGAAAGTGGTGTTCGACAGAATTGCCTCCTCTCTTCTTTGCTATTTAACTTTGTCATAGATTTAATTCCTGAAACAGCCCTATCCTCGTGCGAGGATAGTGGTATCGATTTACTTCCGGGTAGCAGACTGTCTGATCTAGAGTATGCAGACGACATTGTGCTACTAAGTGAAGATCCAGGTGAGTTGCAAGCTTTTCAGGATATTTTGAGTGCTAGTATTGCCATGTTCGGTATACGCTTTGCACCTGCAAAGTGTAAAATGTTACTACAAGACTGGGTTGATCCAGCGCCCAGTCTCACTCTAACTGGGGAAGTAGTAGAGGAAGTAGACAAATTTTGCTATCTATATCACCCGGCGGACGCATCACAGATGAAGTGTCGGCGCGCATACAAAAGGCTCGATTGGCATTTGCCAACTTTGGACATTTGTGGCGCCGTCGCGACATCCGGCTGTCTGTGAAGGGTAGAGTATATGCTGCAGCAGTTCGACCAGTCCTGCTCTACGATGCAGAGACTTGGCCACTAAAGGAACAGGATAAAAATAGATTGTAGGTGTTCGAACACCGCTGTCTACGTAGCATTGCACGTGTATGGTGGGGTAGCCGGACTAGCAATGCTGAGGTTAGGCGTAGAGTTTTAGGCAGTCCCCGTCGTCCACTAGAGCAAGTGATCGAACATAGATTACGCTGGTTGGGACATGTGCTACGCATGTCACCAGATAGGTTGCCACGGCGAACTATGTTTGCCAAGGCTGGTAACGATTGGAAAAAACAAAGGGTGGTCAAGCTAAGACCTGGCAAACCCTAACCAGGAGACTAGGTCACATAGGCCCCGTTAGGCTCCCTGGCTGGGGACCTCACCAGGAGACTAGGTCACATAGGCCCCGTTAGGCTCCCTGGCTGGGGACCTCGGGATGATAATCACTGATGGTTAGCTACACTGAGTGATATGGCTGGGTGTCGCAAACAGTGGCGCTCGTGCATCCACTCATTATTTTCCTAACACCACTCTATAT